AGGAAGGGAAAAAAAAAATCAATGTTCTTTTGAAAAAAATTTGTATTTTTGTTTTCAGTTCAGGGGACTGAACCCAGAGCCTTGTGCTTGTTAGGCAACTACTCTAACACTGAGCTACAGTCTCAACCCTCTTAATAGAAAATATTTTAGAAAAGATTGACAGAGATGCTTTACTGCTCCACTTATAAGGGGAATATTCACATTGTTTTCTATCATAATGGTAAAAGGACTCTGAAAACCATATATTACATATAAATTATATATAATTGATAACATTATTTGAACTGTACCAGTGAGTAAAAGTTATATGTATGTGTCCTGAGATTGTTCTGAGACAGATGTGACTGAGAGTGAAATGACTTGCCCTGCTAAACCGGTAGGGTCCATTACTAATTATGGCCATTTTCCATGCTTGTGAAGGACATTAAAGCTGAGAAGGACTCTCAGTGAGGTCTACCAACAGGCTCTTGGATTGGCCAATTAAATAATAGACAAACTGCATTTTTGTGTTTTGAGTATGCACAAGATTCCAAGAGGAAGATCCATGACTTCTTTAGATTTGTTAAACAACGCATGAAGCTGGGCGGTGGTGGCTCATGCCTTTAATCCCAGCACTCAGGAGGCAGAGGCAGGCGGATCTCTGTGAGTTCGAGGCCAGCCTGGTCTCCAAAGCGAGTTCCAGGAAAGGTGCAAAGCTACACAGAGAAACCTTGTCTCGAAAAACCAAAAAAAAAAAAAAAAAAAAAAAAAAAAAAAAAAAAAAAAAAAAAAAAAAAACCAAAAAAAAAAATGCATGATTTAAAAAAGAAAAACAATAAAAGATGACATTTGACATAATCTGCAGCTTGGCTGGACATTTCAATCCTCATGAGAAAACCAAGACCAGTTTCTGTGGGATGTTCTGTATGGAAAATGTGTTGCTAATTAGTCAATAAATAAAACACTGATTGGCCATTGGCTAGGCAGGAAGTGTAGGCGGGGCAAAGAGGAGAATAAAGCTGGGAAGTAGAAGGCTGAGTCAGAGAGACACTGCCAGCCACCATGATGAGAAACAGCATGTGAAGGTGCCGGTAAGCCACGAGCCATGTGGCAAGGCATAGATTTATAGAAATGGATTAATTTAAGCTGTAAGAACAGTTAGCAAGAAGCCTGCCACGGCCATACAGTTTGTAACCAATACAAGTCTCTGTGTTTACTTGGTTGGGTCTGAGTGGCTGTGGGACTGGCAGGTGAGAGAGATTTGTCCTGACTGTGGGCCAGGCAGGAAAACTCAAGCTACAACCAGTGCTTAAGAAATAGCATGTGGGGCTGGAGAGATGGCTCAGCGATTAAGAGCACTGACTGACCTTCCAAAGGACCTGGATACAATTCCCAGCACCCACATGGTAGCTTATATCCATCTGGAACTCCAGTCCTAGAGGATCTAACACCTTCCTCTGTGGGCACTACACACACATGGTGCATAGTCATACAGGCAGGCAAAACATCCATACATATAAAAATAAATAAATATTTATTATTTTAAACTGAGCATCGGTTTTTGCTTGTGTGTTATCTCCAGGTTGGGTGGCAGCTGGAGAGCAACGTGAACAAGTCACAGTATTTTGTTTAGGACTGTGTGGCTCCTTTAAGATGACTGCTCCCTTGTGCCATTGCTGGTTTGGGAGTGGCTGCTTGGTTATGGATGTCACCCCATCCTTTTCTAGCATTCATTTTTAACACCAAAGTTATGACAAATAGTTGGACATTTAAATAGTTTTGAAGCAAAGAGTAGCGATCTTGATTATTTGGAGAGAGATAAAGGAAAGCACTGTTCACCTAAATAATGGCCTCCTATAACAATAAGGTCTCAATGAGACAATTTAATTCTCTTTCACATTGAAGCCTTGAGGAGGCAGATGGCCTAGAGCTAGTGGGATGGTTTGCTCTATATGTCATCCAGACCTCTGTCTATCTTATTCTGTCATCGTCAACACACAACTTTCAGGAGTAATGTAAGTGTCAGTAGGTTCTGTCACCACATCTGTCTTCAGGTGAGGAAATAAATGGGTAATGGAGGTCATACACCTTTCCTTTTGAAGATATTAGCTGGAGACAGAACATGTCACTTCTGTTCATAGTCTGCCCCAAATTTAAAACCATGGTGTGTCTCACTGAAGGACTATAGGCTGGGGAGACAGCTCAGTTGGTAAAATGCTTGCTGCTGAGTTTGGATCCACAGCACCCTGTAAAAAACTAGGCATGGTAGTTTGTGCATCTGTAATCCCAGTGCTGCAGAGGCAGAGACAGGACAAACCCTGGGGCTTTCTGGTCAACCCAGCTGAATTGGTTAGCTTCAGGTTCAGTGAGAGACTCTGTCTCAAAAAATAAGAGTGGTTGAAAAAGATACTCATTGTTGGTCTTTGGCCTAAACACACACATGCACTTGCATGTGCATACACATGCAGAGAAAGAGAGAGAGAGAGGGAGGGAGAGAGAGAGAGAGAGAGAGAGAGAGAGAGAGAGAGAGAGAGAGAGACAGGCAGGCAGACAGAGACAGAAAACTCAGTAGCTGGCAACTGTGTGCCCAGCTAAGGATTCCATTTATGCAGGAGTGGATAGAGGATGTGGGAGGGATGCTGAGTCATCTCTGCTATAAGCAGACTGCAATGTAAGCGGGGACTGTGACAGATCCTTTAAAATAGAAACAGTATCTGGGACAGTGCTGTTCATGAATGAGTCACAACATGCAGAGCTCAATAATCAAGAACCATCCAAATTTCCACCAGGCTACAGGTTAACTTATAAAAGAAGATTCTGGGTTCTTCACAAATGTAACTACTGTTGTAAGTTATGGAGTAGCTCAAGCACTCCTGGCCATACTCACTGCAACTATCAAAGCTCCTATTTAGTTTTACTTGGTCAAATACCAATTACACAGCGAAGCAAGGGAGTCATTCCCTGGGTAGTTGGTGGTCTTCTGCAACTGTGCCTATAGGCACAGAGGAGACAAAAGGAATGAAGGAGTTGTCTTATGGTTATGTGAACCTGTCAGATGCTTCTACAGGAAGCAGTTGGTATTATTGCACTTGAAGGCTAAATTCTCTTTATCTCTTTGTATATTATTGACAAGACATGGGTTTTATTAAGCCTGAGATGATGGGTTTCCTGTCTGGTTAAGGGACTTTCCCTTCTTGCACTCTGCTTCCTAGTTTATCAGTATTTGGTTGATAGCAGAGCTGTTACATAGGATTTCTCCGTAATCAAAACGTCCAGAAATGAAAAGGACTGATGGACGCCTGGTGAGAGAAGCCTGGTTCCAAGGATCGTCCGAAGTCTTCCTATGACTGGACAGGATGACCTCGGTCAGTTTCTCAAATCTTGAATTCTTTCATTCACACTTCTAGCCAAACAGCAAGTTCTCTTTACTCTCCCAAATGTCATCAAAGTCACTCACACATTTATTTCCATTCAGGTCCACTGCCACCACCCTTGGCAAGCACTATCTACTTTTTTTTTTTAATTTGGGGGGACAGAATGAACACAGTCCCTCACTACAACAAATTATGAAGGCTGGTTTCCCACATTTGGGGAAATCTCAGAGGTCAGCACATCTGGAGTGCAGTGGATGAGCCTTCCCTGAGCAAACCACCTTCACGATTACGGTGTCTCTTCTGCCAGGTAAGTATGAGGCACTACTCTTGTCCATGTCTGAGCTTTCTAATTGTGTCCCTTTCTTCTGATTTCCACTTTTGCCCTCTGTAACCTGTCACTAGTCTGTCCGTTATCCACGCAACAGATGCAAAGCTACCCCTCCTCTGCTTTCTCTCTCCTGTAGCTCAGGCTGCTCTTAAACTCCTGATTCTCTTGCTTTAGCCTCTCAGGTGCTGGAGTTATAAGTATGCATAATCACACCCAGAAAAACTTCCTTAGAATGCAGTTCACCCTAGTTCCACCTCTGGTTGAAAGCCCTTCAAAGGGCTCCTTCTATACTTAAAAACAAATCTAAATCTCTGATTAGGTTCCAACAAGTGATGAACTTAGAAATCATTAAGCAGTTCCCATTCAGGCTACATAAGAATAGTTAGCACCAGAAGCATGCACAGAATAGTTTTGTAATATTCTAAGTTTAGACTTTCTTATTCAAGATTCAAAACCAAGAAATCATAAAGAAAAGTGTGTATACATTCCATTTATTTATTTATTTATTTATTTATTTATTTATTTATTTGCATTGGGTTTTTGAGACAGAGTTTCTCTGTGTAACAGCCCTAGCTGTCCTGGAGTTCACTTTGTGGATGAGGCTGGCCTCAAACTCACAGAGATCTGCAAGCCTCTGCCTCCTGAGTGCTGGGATTAAAGGCAAGTGCCACCACTGGGGCAGTGGTGTATCTTACTTCATGAAAATCAAAGCATTTCATATGTAAAAGATACCATACCTACAGTTAATAAGAGCAAAAGAATCTGAAAAATTACAAAGAAAAGTTATAAGCAAGAATTATTATCCATACTATATAAAGGATATATGGATAAGTAAGAAAAAAAAAACATAAAAACAAAGATAGATGGTGTTGCCTCAATAAAGATAGGGACTAGATGGGTAGCTCAATAGGTAAAATCTTGTTATGCAAGCATGGGGACCCGAGTTCAATCCCTAGGACCTATGTAAAAACAGTCAGGCATGATGGCACATGCTTGTAATCCTAGAGCTGGTGAGGTAAAGATGGGCATCATGGGGGCAGATTATGGGGGCAGATCATGGGGGCTCATTAGCTATCTAGTCTAACCTACCGGGTGAGCTTTAGGCCAGTAAGCTATCCTGTCTGAAAATAAAAGGTGGATGGAATCTGAAAAATGACACTTGAGGCTGACCTTTGGCCTCTATATGCCTGGACACACATGGGGGGGCAGAGAACAGTGGTTAAATACATTTAAAAATCATAACTATTTAACTATCCAATGGTAAAAAATTGTTAAAGAGTCATAGGACATTCACACTGCAGACAAGCACAGTCTTAGGGTAATGATTAGGGTAGATTTTTTTATTAAGTGAAAAAATGCAAGAACAGTGCAAGTATGATCCCATATCTAAGAAAACACACAGACGTTATATATGGAGTATGCAGGAAAGAGTCAGGAAGAATGCACACTTAATTACTCTGCTAAAGGGAAAGCAGTAGGTTCTGTCAGGGCAGAGGGTACAGCCCAGGTGAGGTGGGATTTTTATCTACACTTCCTAGTGCTGGAAAATTTTTGCATCCAGTACACATCCATTCTCTTGTTATTTGTGTAATTTTGAAAACTATTACAAAGCAGAAAATATATAGAAGTCACCCAGTGATTGACTTGGAAGTAATTGTTAGAAAACTATTTGAAAATCTCTCTAAGTCGTACATATCCAGGGTCACCTGTGTTATCTACAAATGTCTTTGGGTAATGTGCAGCTGTAGAGATACCCTATCCCATGATCCTTCAATTCTCCCATCAGACTTAGAGTCCTCTCCATTTGCCTGGACTATTGGCTCTAAATTTAATTCAAAAACAAAAAGAAATTTAGTCATTGTCCCCTAACATTCAGGGAGTTTCTTCAGGTGCAAATAGATTCCATGCTTGGGTCTGAGGATAATGTGGCTGGAGAAGGCAGGAGGCCTTGTGAGGTCTGGAGCTACTTGAAAGCGGAGCAGAATCAAGGCAATGGCCACCTTTAACTCCAGCATGGCAAACTGCTGCCCGATGCAGTTCCTGCAGAGGGAGGAAAAGGGGTTAGTTTCTAGACTAACAAGTCTGGAGTCCACGGCTGCTTAGCAGTTTCCTCTGATTGCAACATTCTCTCCAGGAGGAAGGGAAAGGACTGAAGGAACTCTGGTGAACAGACTTCACATCTGGACAAGCTGTGACTTGGAAGATTCATGAGGGCCCCTCTCCAGAGTTACAGAAGCAGTGAATGACTGCTCAGGAGGACACTGACCAGCGGAGCTGTCTAGAGTCCTCTCAGGTGGTCCAGGGGCCTGCAAGTTATGCAGAGAGCTCCAGGCTTGCAGCTCTTGGGAGTGCTCACTTGCTTGTGGTGGTTTGAATAAGAATCCCCCTCCAAACAGGCTCACATATTTGAATGTTTGCTCCACAGTTGATGGAATGTAGTGGAAAGGATTAGGAGGTGTGTCTTGTTGAAGGATGTGTGTCTCTGGCGGGGTGGGCTTTGAGGTTTCAAAGCCATTCCCAGTTAGCCTTCTCTCTCTGCTTGGTGCTGGTGGATTAGATGCAAGTTCTCAGCTACTGCTCAGGTGGCGCCAGGCCTACCTGCCTGTCGCCTGCCTTGCTCCCTATTGTGACAATCATGGATTCACCCTGGGACTCTGTAAGCCACAGCAAACTCTTTCTTCTATAAGTTGTCTTGGTCATAGTGTCTCTTCACAGTAATAGAAAAATAACTCAGGCACAGCAGCTTTAGAGCCACCCCTGTTCCCATAAGTAACCCTTGGCCATTGTCAGTAACCCCAGCAAAAATTCAGTGGTTCACTAAATTAGACTCTAATACATCATGATCTGCTGAAGGTGGGGTGGTGGTGAGTAGATGTGTTTGTGTTATTTTTTTCCCCCAGGAAAATTCGATTACACAAGAGTAAAGCAGTTTTCACAACACATATATATGTGTATATATATATACATATATATATATATACATACACACATATATGTATATATAACTTTTAGACTTTGTTCTTACATTGCTCCTTGCAAGAATGTGGATTTGGAGGTCCAATGTGATACCCTCCCTGAAGAAGGCAGCAGTTGAAGTCACCCACAAACTATTCCTCCTACAAGCATTGAGCCTGTGAGCAATGCTTACACTGCAGGATTGTTTTCGGAGGCATGATTCATGGGATTTGATATTAAGTGGTATTGCCCTTTGTGAAAAGATGGGTTCTGGAGAGGAATTAATGGAGCAGAGGCGTGACTCACGGGGTTTGATATTAAGTGGTATTGCCCTTTGTGAAAAGATGGGTTCTGGAGAGGAATTAATGGAGCAGAGGGACTAGTGGGTGTAAGTAAGCTTTGTGTGTATTTTCAACTCAAGTTGGTCTCACCTTGGGCCACTGGAGAATGGTAGGAAGGCACAGGGATGTCTCTGATCAGAATTCTCCTTAGTGAATCTCAAGGGGTCAAAGACCTGAAGTGAGAAGACAATGCCATCACCATCTTGACAACAACACATCTTTTAAGGTGCTACTTAGTGCTGATACAGAAACATACGCCACAGAAATTGTCTAAAATGTTCTGCGGGCCGAACGTTAAGACGACAGTACTAATTTTAGTAACAGGTTTTATTAAACAAAATAGTCTATCATGTACTCAATATAATTAAGGAAATATTTTACTTTTAAGGGGGTGGGTACTGTGTCTTCAAACTCCACATTGCAATTCCAATCAGCCAAGTTGCTCAGTGGCCACATGGACAACACTGCTGTAGCCCTGGAGGGTCTAGCTGCCCCCCCCCCCCCGACTTGTCTGCTAGCCAGTCTAAGAGTGCACCCACTTAGAAGCCAAGCCCAAATGAGACGTAATGGTTCAACTTCTTTTTCTACAGAGTAGATCAAAAGCCCTAGTGGTTTACATAGAGGAAAACACCAGTGCTTATGTTTTAAATTTCAAGCAAATTGAATAAACTCAGACTTTCTACACATTTCCTTGCCTGCCCAGGTCCTCCTTTCTCTCTTTCTGAGGCTATTCTGGGCTCCAAACAGCTGACCCACATGGTTTCCCTTGTGTGTTTGGGACAATACAAGGCATTGATGTGGATCTGAAGAGTGGCAGTTAAAGAGAGTTTGGGGTGTTGACTGTTTATTGGCTGCTCCCTGCTGCCTACTGGCAGCATTTCCTCTGCGTGGACCTCTGTGATGTCCCTCCCTAGCTCCCAGTTCTTTTCCCACAGGTTATCTAACTCTCCCTTCTGAGGCCCATCGGGTCTAGAAAAGATAAAGATTCTGAAAGATACCCACTTTCATTTGCTTCCCCTAAAGTCTGCCCATATCTTCACAAATAGTTCCTTTATGGAACATTTGAACTGAGCAACTTGAGCGTGCCATCTACATCACCAGGATCCTGGTGGCTTCATACAATAAAAGAGAGACTGAGCTGCCCAATTTGCTCCACTGACCAGCCACAGCCCTGCAGATATCGACTGGGTGTTGGAAAGGGCTTGACAGTTGAATGACTGAAACAGAGTCAGTGGCAGCTGGGAGCAGATTGTAGGACTAAGATCCTTCAGATCACAATAAAGATAAAGGATATGAGTGAGGACAAGGTCGTTAGTGGGTGAGTTTTACACGTTTCTGGCTTTTATGTGTGTTTGTTTGGTGTCCTTTACTTTCACAGCACAGCCCTTTGCACGCTTGGCTGTCAACACCTGAATCACTCGGCACCACTCTCTGAAGCATGTCCACAGAAGACAATCTTACCTTTGGGTCTTTCCAGACAGCAGGGTTGTGGTGGAGACCCCAAAGACTAAGAACCACAGTCATTCCTGAGGCAGGGGGGAAACAGCAAACTGTCAGCTGCTGTAGTGTGCAGGAAGACTTCTTCCTGGAGGGAAGAGCTAGCTCCTGCTGAGCTGTGCACCAACACTCCACCAGGGAAGGATGGGGGGGGGGGGCGAGGGAGGGGGAGGATGGGCTTGGGTTTGAACTTTAGTTTTCAAAGCAATTATTTACCTAATTCATGATTTTGTGCTAAGGAGCTGCTGGTGTCTGATCAAAGAGCTAAACTGTGCTTAAGTTTTCTGTCTTGTTTGGAAATTACTGTTAGCAGCTAGGCAGCACTTCATAGAGACTGTTCTGTTCTACCTTGAAAATCCAGTGGCTAATTTCTCTTGGCACTGTTCATTCATGAAAGATGGAGAATTTGGGCAAATATTCCAGAGAGGGAATTTGAACAGTATTTTCTTATCCAAAATAATTCTGGTTCTGTCAACAAAATTACAGCTGCAGGTTGCAGGCTCTCCTGTTGACTTGTGGACACTAAAACAGACAAGTGATATGTCATGGGGTCCTACTGCCACCTATGAGCCCTGCCCAGAAACATCTGACTTCACACACGGGGTCTCTATGAGTTCTAGCTTTGCTTCATGTCCATTAACCTTATGTGCATATTGGGGTTTTCCCAATGGGTGTTTTGTAAAGATCACATTCCAAAGGGGAAATGTATTCAAAGGTTTTCATACAGACTAAGTATTGTTCCCTTCTGAGTTGGTGTGATGATAAGGACTCCCTTCCTGTCTCCACATTAACACAATGGTGCTCATCTCCTGTAAAGACCCACTTGGGTCTCAAACTCAACCTCACAAAAATTATCTTAGAGACAATGTCCCACAAAAGATGAAACCCTTGGCTGGGATTCTCAAAATGAGGCTGGAACCTAACAGCTCTAACTGGCTATGTGGTTTGGGAAGATCACCAAGGCTCACATATGATTGAGGAATTATCCTCCAAGCTTTCAGTAGTTACCCAACCACTAGGTCCCAAGAAGCCCCAAATCCCAGTAGTCATCACTGCGACCTTCAGGATCTCATGCTTAGGAAAAGAATGTGAAGACCTGCAGGCAGTGAGTGTCCATCTGGGAGGGTAAGGGGCTTGCTGAGCTCTCGGGAGATGGATGGGATGGGAGGAATCAAGCGGAGAGTCTCCTTGATGCACATTGTGGTGTACGACATCTCATCCAGCTGGTCCCTGCGAGGACAAAAGAAGGAGGGGAGTGACTTAGACTCCAGATCCACTTTGTATTGACTATCCTCTATTTGATTTCTTTTCCTAGTAAGCATCACTGTTGGGGTAAAGTGCTTTTGTCTGGGTTTATACAGCACATTATGAAAATGTGACCTTTTCTCTCTCCATGTCAGCTGAAGTAGTAGATACACAGATGCCACATGCCTAGCCTAAAAACAGGATTTCTGAAAAGCAGTGTTGCGACCCTTAGCTTTTCATGTAAAGGAAACATGTAGAAGGCACAGCTAAAGACTGAAGAGAAGGCTACAGAAGTTTAAGAGAGAAAAAATTATGTAAAGAGAATTGCTGAAATATTGAAATACCTTAGAAAACAGGGTGGAGTGCTATTCATCCTAAACAAGGGGAGACTGACTTCAGGCCACATAGAGGGTCTGACATGTGCTCCCTGGGGTTTGGGAAGCACAGACCTAATCACAAGCAACTCAGAGAAGACAGACTGGCTGGGGAGAGCAGCTGAATGAGGTAGGGATGCACAGGCTATCTGGGGGGAGGTGTGGTCAATGAACTGACCAGGAGGAGGGAGAGCTCCAGACCAGCTAGAGAAACACTGTGTCCAGAGTTCCCCTGCCCCATGAATCAGCACTAGAAAGTTCCAGAAAGAGAGTCTCCAAGATACCTGCAGATGTAATGGCTGAGAGAAGAGAAAAGCACAAAGTATTTGCCAAACCCTTGGCATGACAATGATGCTTCCTTTTCACACCAGAATCATTCTGACACAATCAGAGCCTTGGGTAGGGGAGAAGCTTGTCAATAAGGACAGCCAGCAACAAATCCCTCCCACTTTACTGGCTTCCTGGCCAAAGAAGGGCCAAGGAGGGGTGAAGGGGAGGCTCCGAGTAGATGAGCATGTGAATGATGGTTTGCCATTGCCCTGGGCTAGACAGGCTAGTTACTGGCTTGAGAGTGGATTGTGATTTAAGTGGATGGGACTCTGAGACTTCTCAAGATTTTGCCTCTGAGATGAAAAGAACTCTTCCCACAGAGCAAGCTGGAGTGAGAGCAGGAAAAGAATGAAATGGTTTCTCTGTATAACTAGCTAGTCAAATAGGATCAAGAAAATGATTGAATATATTTATTTTTTGCCTAATCACATTTCTATTTCCTTTTCTGATTAATTATTTTAATGCAGGTGTTGGCCATTTGAAAATATAAAATTTTAATTCTATATTCTTTCCCCATCAAGGCCGGGAAATAAATGGGCAATTGTGCCTACTCTGGTTCTTACATAATTAAGAAAAATAACTTTACCCATATCAATGTGAATGAAAAGAAGAATTTTGGTTTGTTGTTATTTTGAGACAGGGTCTCACTATGTAGCCCTCTGTTGTGGAATAATCTTTTGCACACTGTGAAGATGTGTTGCTCTCTTTGGTTTAATAAAGAGCTAAATGGTCAATAGCTATGTAGGAAGAAGTTAGGTGGAACTTATGGACAGGGAGAGAGCACAGGGATGAAGCAGAGTTGCTAGGAGATGCAAGGAGAAGCAAGAGGAGCATGCTGTTTTGAGGAAAGTTACCAGGCCTCATGGTTGAACATAAATAAGAAATATGGGTTAATTTAAGTTGTAAGAGCTAGTTAGTAACAAGCCTATGCTACAGGCTGAGCGCTTATAATTAGTAAGTCTCTATGTGGTGTGACTGAAAATGTTCCTGTGTCCTGTCAGGTCCCATGGCTGCTCAGACCCAAATAAACACACAGAGGTTTATATTATTTTTAAACTATGGCCATGGCAGGCTTCTTGATAGCTAGCTCTTATATCTTAAATTAACCCATAATTCTTATCTATGTTTAGCCACGTGGCTTGGTACCTTTTCTCAGTTCTGCCTTGTCATCTTGCTTCCCCTGTGTCCAGCTGGTGACTCCTAACTCTGTCCTTCCTCATCCCAGAATTCTCCTCATTCTTGCCCACCTATACTTCCTGCCTGGCTACTGGCCAACCAGCATTTTACTTATCAATCAATCAAAGCAACACATATTCACAGCATACAGAATGATATCCCACGGCACTTCCTCTTTTCTGTCTAATCAAAAAGGAAAGTTTTAACGTTAACATAGTAAAATTATATATAACAAAACAGTTATCAAGCAAGAATTACAGTTACAATATCTAGTCTATTTGTATTTGGCAAAATTAAAGAAAATATTCTGAGGCAGAGCCAGGCAGATCTCTATGAGTTCAAGGCCAGCCTGGGCTACAGAGTGAGTTTCAGGAAAGGCACAAAGCTACACAGAGAAACCCTGTCTCAAAAAACCAAAAAAAAAAAAAAAAAAAAAAAGAAAGAAAGAAAAAGAAAAAGAAAAAATTCTATCATCTATCCTATATTTGTGAGTCTAAAGTTTCATATCTAATTTATCTTTTATCATAACCAAGGAAAATTATAATAATAACTATCTAGTCTTCAGCTACATCAGAGACCCCAGAAGGATATAATATTCTGAGTAAACAAGAAATGCATTGTAAGCAACTTCCAAAATTCTGGAAATGACAGAGACAGCTGCCTACCTGGACAGTCATCCAAAATTCCTCTGTGACATTGGGGCATCCATCTTCAGGCTATAGACCTAGAGTCTCTCAGTTACTTCTCTCTGTGTCTTATAGAATGTCTGGCAGTTTCTTCTGCGAAGCAGGAACCTGAAGGACCATCTCCCCTTGCAAAGTTCAGTGGTCACCTTCCTATGGGTCCTGTATGTTCAACTGATACAACACTTTGTCATGCAGTCTAGGCAAGAACAGTTTCTTGTCCAAATAGCTATTTTTGCCAAGAAGAAGATGAACTCCATACGGAGTGTTTTCAATGCCCATCCTCCTCTCTGAAGTAAACTGGTGCTGCCAGGAGCAGACGTGTCTCATTGTCCAGAAAAGTCTAAGTTTTTAAAACATTTTAAATGCCATATTCTATAGGTCTTTGAAATGTTTGAGGATTACTTACCTAATTGAAATATATCTATGTATACCTAGAAAACTTAACTAACATGACTATGGGTTTGATTATCATAGATGACTAATTATTAATCTGTATTTCTTTTTTTAAAACTTTTATTTATTTATTATGTATACAGTGTTCTGCCTGCATGTATGCTTGCAGGCCAGAGAGGGCGCCAGATCCCATTACAGATGGTTGTGAGCCACCATGTGGCTGCTGGGAATTGAACCTGGGACCTCTGGAAGAATAGGTAGTGCTCTTAACTGTTGAGCCATCTCTCCAGCCCTAATCTGAATTTCTTAATTATACATTACAATTTTAAATGAACTGCACAAACATAATACCTTAAACAAAAGTAGAAATATACATACAGTATAACAAAATTAACTTCAAATTTCCATCAATAAACTAAAATCCACAGCAAGGTAGAATATTTTAAGCAAGTTGTTGTTCTTTAAAAGTAGAGTCAACAATCTACCCTTTTATCCTATCATATCCATATCTTATATATCTATATCAGTGTGGTTATTTGAGAGCTGGCTGGCAGGACAGAAAATTCTACCAATACAGCCCTCAAAAGCCTGGAGCTCTCTGAATAGACCACTCTGGCCTTGAACTCACATAAATCTTCCTGAGCAAAGAATTTTATTATTATTATTATTACTGTTATCATCATCGTCGTCGTCGTCATCGTCGTTGTTGTTGTTTTTCGTTTTTCCAGACAGGGTTTCTCTGTGTAGCCCTGGCTGTCCTGAAACTCACTTTGTAGGCCACGCTGGCCTCAAACTCACAGAGATCCACCTGCCTCCCCAGTGTTGGGATTAAAGGTGTGCGCCACCACTGGCAAGCAGAGAATCTTAAACCAATGTAGAAATGGCCTGACAAGGAGCCAAAGAGAGAAACTGCTTAAAATTTTCTGAATGCCACGTGTAAATTTCATTAATGAAAATGATGGGTGTGTTATAGAGTTGTTTTTTTATTTTTAAAATGTGTTCTGGGGCTGGAGATTGCTCATCAGTTAAGAGTGCTTGCTGCTCTTGCAAAAGATCTGAGTTCAGTTCTCAGCACTGTCATGTGGCTCACAACCAACTCCAGCTCCAGAGGATCTGACACCCTCTTCTGGACTCTATGGCACCTTTACTCATGTGCATATGCCCCCACACAAACACTCATATCCACATAATTAAAAAATAATAAATCTTTGAGCTGAATGGTGGTGGTTTTAATCCCAGAACTTGGGAGGCAGAGGCAGGTGGATCTTTGTGAGTTGGAGGCCAGCCTGGGCTACAGAGAAAGTCCCAGGGCTGTTACACAAAGAAACCCTGTCTTTAAAAAAACAAAAAAAACCCCAAAAATCTTTGAAAATGTGTTCTTTGTAGTATTTATTCCTCTTTCTTTCATTAAAAGAAAGAATAGTTAACAGATCATCTGGACTTTTGGTTTTTCACCTGGCCAGGACTCAATTACTGTTTTCAAATTTAGACCAATCAAGAATGAGAAAAGTCAACACATGAGTTTCTTTCTTTTCTTTCCTCCTCTTCCTTCTCCTCCTCCTCCTCCTCCTCCTCCTCCTCCTCCTCCTCCTCTTCCTTCTCTTCTTCTTCTGTTTTGTTTTTTTGAGACAGGGTCTCACTATGTAGCTCTGGCTGTCCTGGAACTCACTATGTAGGTCACAGTGGTCTCACACTCACAAAGATCCACCTGCTCCTGCTGGGATTAAAGACATGCACCACTGTGCCCATTCTTACTTGTTTCTTAAGTAACTACAACAGACAAGATGAAGCATTGAATTCATGCTGGAAAGAGACATGATAATCTTCCAAGTTTAGTGACTAAATAGAAATGGACTAGTCGACAAGATGATAGGATAGGAGATTCTCCATTTGGATCCTACCAGCAGCAATGATTTCACAGACAAAGGCACATTTGTGTGAGACAATGTTTGATCTGGCGATCTACTGTGAAGCTGGAGAATAATAAGCAAATAGAAAAGGTAGAGAGCCAGGAACCACATCTACACACACCCTTATGGACAATGAATCTTCAGCAAAGATGCCAAGAACACCAAATGGGGAAAGAATGCTCAGTTCAGTGGCTGATGTTGAGAGAGCTGGATATACATGAGAACAAAATAGATTCTTATCCTATATACAAAACTCAACTCAAAACTGAATAAAAACTTAAAATGCTATCTTACTGTAATACTCCTAGAGAAACCAATGATCAAGAGATGATTGTTGACATGGGTCATATTTGAATTTTCTCTTGGAAGCGTAAACAACAAAGGCAAAAATTAGGAGTTTACATTAAGTGAAAAAATACCTTATGAATGACAAGGAAAATAACAGAGTGAAATGATGACCTACAAAATGGGAAACCATTTGCATACCACAATATGATAAAGACTTAATATTTAAAATGTAGAAAGAATGCAAATAACTCAAGAAAACATATAAACTGGATAAAATACATGCAAAGGGTCTAAATAGTCAATTTCTCAAAAACTGACCTACAAATACTTGACAGGCCTATGAAAAAATTCTCAATGTTGTATATCATTAGAGAAATAAAAATTAAAACCAACAATGAGGTATCACCTCACATGTGTTAGAGAAAAGGAAAATAAACTAATATTGGTAGTGGATGCAGAAACCCACAGCTAAGCACTTGGCCAAGCTCCTGGAGTTCAGTTAAAGAGAGGGAGGAGGGATTATAGGAGCAAGGGGAGTCAGGATCATGATGAGAAAAACCACAGAGATAGCTGATCCAAGCTATTGGGAGCTCATGGACTCTGGACTGACAGCTGGGGAGCCTGCATGGGACTGCACTAGGCCCTCTGAATGTGGGAGGAAGTTGTGTGGCTTGATGTGTCTGTGGGTCCCCTGACAATGAGACCAGAACTTATCCCAGGTAGAAGAACTAGCTTTTTAGAGCCCATTCTCTAGGGTGCAATGCCTTATCCAACCTTGATGCGGGGGAGGGGGATTTGGTCCTGCCCCAACTTGGTATGCCAGCCTGTGTTGACTACCCAAGGGAGGCCTTAGCCCCTATGAGGAGGGGATGGGAGTGGGATGAGGAAAGGTAGGAGGGAATGGGAAAAGGGGAGGGAGGGGGAATGGAGGGTTGGTATGTGAAACAAAAAAAAATTAATAAAAAAAAGAGCTAATAACAAAAACAAATATTGGTGAGGATTTGGAGAAAATAGGATCCTTACACACTGTCAGTGTCAACATGGATCAATACAACCAAATGTATTGATAGCATAGAAGTCTCTAAAAATTTACAAAAAGAAGTCCACAAGATCCAGGAATTTCATTTGTCAATATATATTCAAAGGGAATGAAGTCACTGTATCAATTGCCACTTTATTCACTACAGTCCAGATATGGAATCAGTCCGAGTCATTATCTAATGAATGGATGAAGAATGCATGGTCCATACACACAGCACAATGCTGTGTACCAGTGAAAGGAGAGTCTTTCGTTTGTTAACACACAAATGAACCTGGAGGACATTATGCAAAGCAACACAGAAAGGCAAATACCCCATGAATGCAGTTACATGTGGCTCTAAGAGGTTGAATTTGTAGAGGCAGAGAGTGGAGTAGTGCCTGCCAATCAGGGTTGTGACAACAAGAGATTCAGAATTCTGATTAGATATGGAGAAACTACATTGTTGTAATTGTTAATGATTTGTTGTATATTTGAACTTGCTCATTGAGTATGTTTTAGATGTCCTTACCACAAAATAATTATATTAATATTATAATGAATATGCCCATTGGTTTAGTTATTTCAAAATGCATACATGGATAAAAATAGCATACTGTAAACAGTACATGTACGTATTTACAAATAAACATGCACACTTTTTATCAGTAAAAAGTCATTACTTAACATTGTATTTTATGCTATATACATGAAGGTTTTTTTTTTTTTTTTTTTGGTCTGTGTGTGTGTTTCAGGGGGTGGGAGGGAATATGCCATGGTATACATGTGGAGGTCAGAGGCAATTTTGTGGAATCAGTTCTCTCCTTCTACCTTTAAGTGGATTCTGGGAATTAAATTCAGATCAGGCTTCCATGGCTGAGCCATCTTTCTGGCCCTCTGCTCCTAGCTTTTTTTCCCAATGTGAGTACTGGGGATCAAACTCAGGTCCTCATGCTGGTACACCAAGCTCTTTACCGGCTGAGCCCTCTCCTCAGCACTTAGGTGAAGCTTTGAACTTATGGTAGAAAATGACTGTTAGTTCCTTATCAAATGAGATCTCTACTGCCTTTAGAACTTCAATTTTTGTTTTCTGAGCTGACTTTTGCTTATGAAATGTGGCTCAGTGGTGTTTAGCATCTTTCTCTTTCAGTCCCTTTGACTAGGGCATTGGGAATGGCTTATCAGGGATACATTGTTTTTTTGCAAATAACATGTCTGAGGGATGTATCCATTATCTAAAGCTTATTAACATCAAGATTCATTAAGAGTTGAGGCTTTCTCCTGGTTTGCTCTTCTTGTCCCAGAAGTGTCAGATCATCAAGGGGGAGGTGGTCTCACTATACCCCCATGGCTAGGGTGGGAATCTGTCTTCTAAATCTGGTGGTCGGCAAATATCTCTGTCCTTGCCCTTACCATGAGTCCTTTAATTTGCAGCATGACGGTCTTTCTCCTGCCTTAGACTACAGATCATTGAGGACAGGGTCTGTACAAAATCTTAGTCATCATTTTAGTGCCTCGATTCTTAAAATGTCCTCAGTCTACAGCTTCTAACTTGACAACAATGTGTATTATTTAATATGTCCAAAGGCCACCCTATCCTGAAGTATGACACCAGTGACCAGGCAATCGGCTAGGGTGCTACAGTGAACTCACTGATACAGCTACTCCTTCCGCCTTCTCAGCCCAGGAGTCCCTCTGGAGTCTTGTCTTTGAAGCTCTACACGCAAGCCTAAGGTCTGTCCCTCACTGCAAATGTGCCAGAGCTTGGGTGAAAGAAACAAATGCAACATTGTGTAGAAAAAAATAGTGTTGTATGATTTCTGGATAGTGAACTTCCTTTGCAGACAAAGTTAACTCAGGGCTCTCTCCAGAAAGAAGAGACAGACAAGTGGCCTGCTTCCTCTGCTTTGGCATACACATACCTTGGGACACTGTGGTCACCAAGGCACCAGAATAAGAAATAAGCAAAATCTCAAGAAGAGAGCTAGGATGACATACTGAGGGCTGCAGATCTTACCAGGTGATGGAAGACCCATCTCCCAGGATGCTTCTGATCTCTGTCCGGCATCTGTCCTGATGCTCAGGGTTCAGAGCCAGGCAGTAGAGGAGCCAGGAGATGCTGGCTGCAGAGGCATCGTGTCCTGCCCACATGAAGGTGTTCACCTCAGACCGCAGGTCAGTGTCTGAGAAGGCTTTTTCATCTTCAGCCTACAACAGACAGCAGAGATGGCTGAATGAAACATCACTTCACAGATGTTTGGAGATCCCGTCAAACTGATAGTTTTACAAAAACACTAGAGTTTCAAATAAAGGTTTCAATTTTAGTTCAGTTTATCAAATACATATTGTGAGTCCTACTTTGCCCAGAGCACAAAGGAGAACCAATGTCACAAAAGAAAAGCAAGCTTTGCATAAGCACTTGGAAAATTTCTTCACTCTTCCAAAGGCATCTAATTTCTCAACATTTCCTTGTTAAAGTGCTCACTCATGCTTCCAATTTTTCTGTGAGTCTCTAAACTCCCGGTATCTGTATAACCTCCAAATCATGGCAAACAGGTAATTTAGTCTTCATTAACTCCTGGTGAGTTACAAGTCTCAGTCTTTCTTCCAAACTGCACCAAGAGTCATTGCTCATAGCACTCTACTGTTGACATTTATCTGAAGAAGTTTGCTCTGTCTTCCTGTCCCAACTCCACTTGCCCATCCACCCTCCCACACTCAGCAGCTGTGCGAGCGGAGGAGCTGTGTAAGCAGGTCTAGACTCTTGGTGCATTTACCTGGGCAGAAAGGACAATATCCAGAAGATCTTGAGACTTTTGGGTGTCATCCTGCTTTACTCCATCCTTGAGGAGTTTCTTTCTGTCTTGGATTATCTTTTCTGCATAGAATAAAAGGTCTTCATTACTGAAGGAACAGCTAAGTCAATCAAAGCCAAATACATTATAAAGCAAGACAGAGCCCACACAAAGTGTCATGTCTTATCTGCTTTCAGAAGCCAGAGTGAATATATTATAGCTAAATGCATTAAACTTGTACAAGTGGCTTATTTTCCATCAACAGACAACTTTTAACAAAAATTTCAAACAGAAGAGATGAAAATTAGTTTCTATCAGTAGGCAAGCAACATCATCAAGATGACTGTAAAGTTAGATGCAAGTGGCCAGTTACTGTTTTCCTCCTTGGTATAAAATCTTGTTTTCATGGAAATTAACCAATGGAACATCCAGCAGAGAAAACATCCAACATATGTAGCTAACGGGGCTAAAAGCAAAAAAGGAAACAGACAAAAACAGAACATGGGCAGATAGAATATGTACAAGCACTTTCTACAGAAATTAGTTTGTTTTCTGTCTCAATTGTGGTCAATTTTGTTATTTGAACTTACCATTTCATATAAATTTAGAATTTGGATGGAAGTAAGTAGAGTAGTATGCTGATTTTCAAAAACAGTTTCTGTATATCAAGAATTTAGCTGCTCACTCATGCTCATGGAAGCAACACTAATTAAACTCAGCAAGTTATAAAAAAAAACCCATGGAAGTAGGAGGGAGAATAGTTGGAAAGAGGGGCTTCGGCAAGAGAGGGAGGACAAGAAAAAGTAACGTTGGAGTGAACATGATCAAAATTGTGTACATGTATGAAATTGTCAACAAAGTAATTGTCGGTGCTGGACCAATAGCTCAGTCATTAAGAGCACTGGCTTCTCTTCCAGAGGACCCAATCTAGAGTCCCAACACTCACATGGCAAAATTCTAGACTGTCCTGGAACTCACCATGTAGATCAGGCTGGCCTCAGACTCACAGAGATCACCTATCTCAGCCTCTTGAGTGCTGGGATTAAAGGCATACACTCCCATACCCAGCTTTTGGGTGTCCTTTGAAGACATACCCACATCTACTTTTTCCTGTATGCCTGTTCTGTGCAAGCATTTTAGTTTGTAATTATTACTTAATTTACTGCAAAGAAAGCCACATGCCATGTACATTTTGAAATCTTAAATTCCCCCTTGTTACATGTTTTGTAATAATTGCATATGATAAAATTGTATAATACATGATGGTGAGAGTGTGAACTTATCTTAAAGGAATGAAGTTGTAATTATTTGAGCAGTGTCCTTTTTTTTTTTTTTTTTTTGGTTTTTCGAGACAGGGTTTCTCTGTGTAGCTTTGCGCCTTTCCTGGATCTCGATCTGTAGACCAGGCTGGCCTCGAACTCACAGAGATCCACCTGGCAGTGTCCATTTTAAAGCTCCATTAAGAACAAGAATTCTTTTCCTGATTACTGTGAGACTTATCCTTCTACACATAAGACAGGCATGATGGTGCATGGATTTGGGTAACCCACACCCAAGACAGGCCCGTGTTTTTACCTGTGCATTGATGTATCACTTTGCCTAACTCCTGGAAGCAGTGGCCCTTAGGGCTGAATTTGAAAATTATGTCATGATGATGCCAGAAATTGTACAAATGGGAAGATATAATTTCACCAAGTTCAAAGGTTGCCTTCATATAAGGCTCATAGGTGCTAGGAGAAAAAAGTAGGAACAAGGGGTTAATAATTTACTTAGATCACAGTGAATTCATTTACTGCTCCATCACTGACCTGTTTATCTGGCAGTTAGTCTCCTGGCCAAAAGCGCATTTCATGATTATGTCCAGGGCCATCAAGTTGATGTGTTCAAAAACCTCCATGGTTGTTTCCTGAGCACTCCAAATCTTCTCCCATTTATCCTGGCAGAGGAGGCTAAGATCAATATCATCACCATCATCAAGCGGTCTTTATATGCCCGCTTTCCCCTAACCCTGCCCTTATCATCTCAGGGACAAACCCTGACCTCACAGGAACCAAAGGCCAGGAGCAAATAACCCATGTGTTTGTTTTGGGCACAAGGAAGGGAAGCACACACTGAGCGAGTGAGAAACAGCATGATGCACGCTTCACATCTGGCAAATGGTCTTTCAATGATTGCAACGACTCTGTGCCAAACAGCACAGTGTTCCACACACCACCTAATTAAGACCGCAACACATGGGATTTCCCCAGGGCTTCTTGCGCCTTCCACCCCCAGCTCGCTAGATATCCCATCACGACTCTCCACCACCACACCCACACTTAAACTCAGAACATTTCTTTTTCTTTTTCTTTTTCTTTCTTTTTTTTTTTTAATTTGGTTTTTCGAGACAGGGTTTCTCTGTGTAGTTTTGGTGCCTGTCCTGGATCCCCCCACTCTGTAGACCAGGCTGGCCTCAAACTCACAGAGATCCGCCTGGCTCTGCCTCCCGAGTGCTGGGATTAAAGGCGTGCGCCACCACCGCCTGGCCAGAACATTTTTCAAAAGCATCTTAGATTCAGTAATGGACAGTACCAATAGACATGCTAACGTGGAAGGGGGAAATCTGTAGCCCCATCCTAGATGAAGATCTACAGGCAACTAATGACTGACGAGAGGGGGAGAATTAGTCGTCCCCAGGGATGAGCCCCTAAATGGTTTTCAACACCGAGTGGTTGGCCTTGAAAGCATCTACATACAAGCAACACTGAAAGGTGGCATTTATATTTGTACATTTGTGTATACATGTAACAATAATTATTAAAGAGAGAGAGGTCAGAAATTTAGCAGGCGACAACGGGGGAAACATGAAAGGGTTGGTGGGAGGAGAAGAAAGGGGAATGACATAATTATTTGTTTAAAAATTGCAAATAAGCCAGGCAATGGTGGCACATGCCTTTAATCCCAGCACTTGGGAGGCAGAGGCAGAAGGATCTCTGTGAGTTCGAGGCCAGGCTGGTCTACAAAGTGAGCTCCAGGACAGCCAGGGCTACTCAGAGAAACCCTGTCTTGAAAAACAACAACAAAAATTGCAAATAAAAACTATCAAAAAAGCATTTCCGATTCAAACACTGGGGACAGAAAGGCCTGGAAGAGGAGTTGCTGCAGGGAGCTGTCTAACTTCCCCGACGGAAGCCTACTCACACAACCTGAAATGTGTTTTCTGACTGCTAAGTTGCCAAAGAGTGCCCACCCCCCAGTTATAAATGTATGTGTCATAACAAGCACTTTTTGTGTAAAAATGCAAATAAATGGAAATGTTTAAATTTAGTTCAATCTATGTTTGTTGAGCATCTACAGATGTCACCTGGGTGTTGAATGCTGAGTACCTACGAGTGACAAACTAGGTACTGAATGGTTGGAGACTGAATAAAAGGCAGAATTTAAAGCCTTTCACCCAAGAGTCTATTATTTGGTCAGATGGCTTACAACTAAATGGTTAGCCCTTTAAAGAATTAATTTTGTTGAGTCTGTATTTGTTGTACTATTAATAGAATTCAGGGTGAGATTTCAGGTCAGGCATTTGAGGAGAGCTGATGAGCCGTGTGGTGGGTTTGAAAGAAATGAGAGGAGGGCCGGCCTCTGAGCTTGAGGTGCTCTGGGAAGTGTGAGAGGAACGCAGAGAAACACAGGCCTAAGAAATGTAGAGGATAGAAATAGCTCCTAGAAAGGGAGGGTCTAACTGTCACTGGTAGAGCTGAATTGTGTCAGACACTGAACAGCATCAAGGAGGATGCTCTCCATCTGACCCCCTTCCTTGAGCCTGGAGCCTTGAGAAGTCCCACTGATGTCCCACTCCACTTCCACAGAAATTTGGCTGAGCTCCCAGACACAAGGTGGTAACAACTGTTACCCACAAACAAAGTAAGTAAGGCTTGCAGCTAAGGAGGAAAATTTGGCTTTGTGGTATTTGAAATTTATGAAGAAACTGTATTAATTATTTGCCTGCTTTTAAAATAAATACATTAAAAAAGTGAAAATCTCTACATCAACAGACCTTTCAATAAAACTCATCTCTAAATTAGAAGCCACCCCAACAGGGATGCCCCTCGGCAGCAGTCTGCCTCTTTGGAAGGTGTCACTTACCTTTAAGATCACCTACAAGGTGACAGAGGTGCTGAACATTTGCTCAGTCCTTCATGCCCACCAGCCAAGTCCAATGCAGCCTCAAACCTTGTCTCACATCACTCTGCCTAGGAATTTCTTGTTCTTAATATTCACACATGCAAGTCAGTTTATATCGTGGTAAATCTGAGTCACCTCTGAAATCTGAACCAGTTAGCTGCCCTTGGCTTTTTTACCTGTCTCCCACAGCACCTGCCATTTGAATGTTACCGCCATAGAATGTGAGGCTCTATTTAAGATGGAGAACCAGCTCTTCTTTTTTAATCACCCGAAGAACTCAGGAAAGGCTTACATAGATAGCACTACTCAGTGGGTACTTGTATTCTGATTAATTTCTAGAAATCAGCTTTGATTTTTCTCAACTCCCTATATAAATCTCTAATCTAACGTTTCACTTACCAGCATCGTGTTCACAGAGTGGATCATCATGTCCACACAGGTTTTCAGGATATCGTGATGGAATGCAGGAGTTAGGAGGCAGCGGTGTTGAAACCACCTGGGTCCATCTAGATTCAGGAGTCCTCTTCCTTGAGAAAGAAAATGAACAAAACCTCATGCATTTTATTAGAAGAGGAGAGATGAGGGCCTCATGTGGCTGACTCACAAACAGTCACAAAGTAGTAGTTAATGTCCAAGAGCTGACAGATGAAGACAGTGTCAGCGCTGATGCTCACACCTGGGGTGGATACATTTAACACTGAGAGGAAGCATTCCACATCTGATGCCTGATGAGGCCTAGTTTCTCAGCAATGGAATGTGGTAACCTGTGCTGTGCAGATTCAATGAGGGAATGCACATAAGGGACTCAACCTAGTCCCTCTTTGCTGCAGGTCAATCCATAAACATTACTGTGAACACAGATTCAGTAGAAACAAGGCAAGGATATCCATCTGATCCCAGATACCCTCACCTCAAGCTCTGGCTTGTGAAAACACTTATCAAGGCCAACACTTCACAATCTTTTATTGCCAAATGTGCTGGCATTAAAGTTTGGCTTTCAGAAGTTGGAGAGATGGCTCAGTGGTTAAGAATATTTGTTGCTCTTGCAGAGGCTTGGCATTCAGTTCCCAGCACCCACACTGGGTGGTTCATAACCATCTGTCCAGATCCAGGAATCCAACCATCTGTTCTGGAATCCATGGTCAACTACACACATGTGCACATACACACAAATAAAAATAAAATAAATCTTAAAATGTATTTGGCTTTCGAAGAACTTTAAATTTGAATAACATTTAAAATTTTTTATTAATCTTTTTCATATAATATATTTTGATCATATTCTTTTACTTCTCCAAACTTCTCCTAGATCCTTCCCATCTCCCTGACCACATGCTCGACTTCATGTTTCTTTCCCTCTCTCTCTCAAAAAAGAAAAACAAAACAAAACAAAAAACCAAAAAATGAAAATCAAACCTGACAAACAAAATAAACTAAATAAGACAAAACTAAACTAAAACAAAGTCACAATAAACCACGGAGCCTGTGTTCTGTTGGCCAACTGATCCTGGGCATGGGGCCTGCCCTGGAGTGTGGTTGAAATACACAGTGAGCTGGGCGGTGGTGGTGCATGCCTTTAGTCCCAGCACTTGGGAGGCAGAGGCAGGCGGATCTCTGTGAGTTCGAGGCTAGCCTGGGCTACAAAGTGAGTTCCAGAAAAGGCGCAAAGCTACACAGAGAAACCCTGTCTTGAAAAACCAAAAAAAAAAAAAAAAAAAAAAACAAAACAAAACAAAACACCAAACCCAAAAAACAAAAAACCAAACAAAAACCAACCAACCAACCAAACAAACAAAAAAACCACAGTGATACTCCAGTGGAGAAAAGTGATTTCCCCTTTTCCAGCAGGCATTAATTGCAAATAAATTCTTGGTTAGGGATGGGACTTTATGTTCATTTCCCATTCTTAGTGCTGGGGTTTTGTAAATGATATCCCTTTTTGAATGCTTACAAATTGCCAGGCTCTTGATGCCTGTGGGTTGGTTCTCTTAGAATGCTGGCTCCTGCATAAAGTGCTGGAAATAAATGCAACACCCATCTCTCTCAGCAGCGACAGCACTGACTCTCACACTCATTTCAAAGATGAGGAAAATGAGTCATAGATTAAATCATGTCCCTAAGATCATGATCAAGTAATCTACTGGAGTGACCAGCAGCATGCAAATCTAAGGGGCTCTGAATCCAAGCCTATACTCTTTCATTTAATTTCTTCCTGGTCTAAAATAAACATCTACTATGTGAGAAAGCAGCTGAATTTATCTGTTCATAGGATAGAGCCAAACTGCGCGTCCGAGACAACTTTTACTGAAAGGCATATAAAAATAAGAGAACTCTGAAAAGAAAGGAAAAGTACAAGAAAACAAGAGGTGAAAGGATTAAAAAACCTTCTGTAGTGAAGCTAAGATGTTGAAGAATTCGCACACATTTTCCCTTGAAAACGGGACTTGGAGGAGAGAAACAGACCAGAGTGCTCTGTGATGCTCTGCTGGGTTGACCTTTGAGTTCCCCTTTGATTCTAGGTAGTTCTCCTCATAGCTCTTACTCTTTAGAATGCCGTGTGTTCGTGTGTCATCCACTGTTTGCTTTTCTGTTAACCTGAGATAGGGACTCCCACTAGCTGGGAGCTCACCGAATGAGTTAGGCTGGCTGCCCAGCTCGGAGACCCGCCTGTTCTGTTTCCCGTGTTGAGATTACAAGTGCGCATCATCATGCCCCCTTTTTTTATGTGGGTGGACTTTAGATCTCCAGATTCTATTTTTAAAGTTTAAAAATTATATTCTTAGATGAGAATATAAAACCCTGGTTTTTCTCATGGCATTTTTGTATTTACGTGTCATAGTACTTCGTTCTTACTCACTTCCTTCTCCCTCTGCCCCAACCCCAACCTCTTGTGTCCCCTGCCTCCTTCTAGCTTGTTCTCTTCCTTCTCCTAGATGGTCATGTCATTTGCATTTGATGTCCTTTTGAGTTCAGATTGGAGTCTCTTTGGAATGCTCTGCCATGGAAAAGTGACTTGGAGTGTCACATACATACCAATGCATGGAGTCATGAACTGGTGCACATATTGAGTCTTTGGGTCTGCAGAATCAAGCAGAGGAAAGGAAAGGCAGCATTAGGGAAAACATTCATGAGCAGTTCAAGTTGGGGAAAGCTTTCTTCACCTGCCTGCACTCAGTGCAGACAGTGGACAGGAGGGAATCCCAAGTCACTTTCTACAGTCTTGGAGGCTTGGAAACCCTGAGTCTTGGTTCAGTTCCAGAGAAGAACAAGTCCCAGGACCTAAACTCATATCCTCCCCTGGTTTCTATTTCCCTCAACAGTGAGGCTTGCTTGGGAGCAGACAAGTTTCCAGAATGGGGGTTGGGACACGTATGTTTGTTGGAAAACATCAGACATTGAGGCACAAAGGCCTCTCGACGGTCCTGTGACTCTAATGGAAATGTATTTTCTTCTGAAGAGGTGAACAATAGACAGATTGGAGCAGAGGGACAGAGAAACAGATGTTCAGAGAAAGGTCTGTTTTGCTTAGGTTTTGTTAAGGGTGAGGGATGTGAAACACAGGAAAGATTAGGATGTGAGATCTTCACAAAGTTGGCAGAGCTCAAACTGGCCATTGTAGTTTTGTGCTATGCATAATCGGAGTCTTGTACTGCATGGGTGGGTGGGGGAGTGACCTGTGCTCTGCAAAGGAACACAACAATTTGGACCAAGAGTTTGGACTGCTAAGTGAATGCTCTATCACTTTAGATTCTGTTCAGACCCCTGGAGGTAGGCTTCTCCTTTCCCCAGGAGACTTATGTTTATAATGAAGTGCATGTGTGAAGCAGAGGTGTTGACTCAAAAGTCCCAAAACCAAAGAGGCAAAGGAAGCCCCTAGCCAGGCTGGTGGTGGCAACTGGAATTTATTGCTGTGGGATGGTCTGTATGTCAAATGTGTTGCTCTGATTGGTCAATAAATAAAACACTGATTGGCCAGTAGCCAGGCAGGAAGTATAGGCAGGACTAACAGAGAGGAGAACTGAGAGAACAGGAAGGCGGAGGGAGACACTGCCAGCCGCCGCCATGACAAGCAGCATGTGAAGATGCCGGTAAACCACGAGCCATGTGGCAAGGTTTAGATTTATAGAAATGGATTAGTTTAAGATATAAGAACAGTTAGCAACAAGCCTGCCACGGCCATACAGTTTGTAAGCAATATAAGCCTCTGTGTTTACTTGGTTGGGTCTGAGCGGCTGTGGGACTGGCAGGTGAGAGAGATTTGTCCTGACTGTGGGCCAGGCAGGAAAACTCTAGCTACAATTTATGGGGCCCTGGAGCCGAGGAACTGGGGGGCACCTGGGAAGCCCCTTAACCTGGGCAGATCTTTCCTCGCTCCATACTTGCTCAGGATCTCTTCCAAGCCCAGGGTTAAGCTTTGCTTCAGGCCTGTGGGTCACGGGCAACTCACTCCTGGAGGATTAGGACTTGGAGTTTCGTCTCATTTCTTACCTGTTCTGCTCAGAAATATCTTTGCATAGTCTGGGTCATAGATGTAGAAAAATGCCTGGAAGGGCCCTACCCAGCAGGGGAAGGCACAAGGATACTTTTTAACAATCTCATCAAGCTTCTCCATCTTATCATCCTGAAGAAACTATAGTGAAAAAAGGGCAGGAAATTAGAGAGTCAGTCGGGCTGGCACTGCCTTGACACAGACACAGGGTGAGTTCAGGGCCTGCACGGGACTGTGCCCCAGAGGGACCTGGCACCTTTATGTAGGGAGGCAAACATTCTTCCTAAGATCTGTAAGCTTGGGGATAATATCCTAAACAAGGCTAGTTTTTTTTTTTTTTTTAAGTATAAATACCGAGCCATCTCCCTCACCCAAACCTTTCACTTTTAGGGCAAGATTTCAGACAAGTGGCTTAAGTAGTCCCTAAAAATAGCTGAAAATAAGATTTTCTTACATCTACTTATAGTGTATATGTGTGTGGTTGGGATGCCGATACACATTTGAGCACAATCGTGGGGATCCCCACTTTGAGGAAATTCTTCCTTGTGTGACTTCACATCACTTGATCATTCTTATCCTCAGAAGAGGTAGAAAACCACCTTCCAAATCTGTGTGTTATCAGTCAGCCACTCATCCATGAACTGGTCTCTGGATAGTTTAGATCCACCAAAAGGTCAAGATCCTGAGATCTAATGATGCTGGTGTTCGCATCATCAAGCCACCATGAGGTTTTCTAACAGTGTAAATATTTATTCATTCACAAACAAGGAGCGTTTATGAAGGGTCTGTTACAAACTAGATGATGAATATTCAGAAGCAGCATAACGGAGGAATTAATTTTGGCTCACAGTTTCAGGGGACACAGCTCATCGAAGCAGGGAAGGCATGACATTGTGTCTCACTGTTTGATGACAGGAGCTTGTGGATTGTTCACGTCATGGCAAGTCAGGGAGCAGAGATAACAGGACAGGGAGTGACAGGGCTGGGCTATAAGTCTCAAAGGTCCTCCAGTGACCCATGTCTGCTAGCCACCCTCTCCAAACTGCCACTGTCTTGGTACTAGGTCTTTAGACATGTGAGCATATCGAGACATTTCACATCCAAACCATAATGTGATGCTAAGACAGGTTCTGGCTGACTCTGGAGTGGTTATAGTGGAAGTCAACTCATTTCACTAAGTGCTTGACATGTTTTCAGTTTTTTCAAACACTAACCAAGTTTATCTCTTGAACAAACTAGTAATGTGTTACATTGCATGTAAAGGAACTAAAGTTTTCAACCAAAAAACAAACATTGTCAGAGTGCACAAAAAGCTATATATGTGTTGACAGAAGACAATTTTTTAAAATATTTATTTATTATGTATACAGTGTTCTGTCTGCAAGTATGCCTGCAAACCAGAAGGGGGCAATAGATCTCATTAAGGAAGGTTGTGAGCCACCATGTGGTTGCTGGGAATCGAACTCAGGACCTCTAGAAGAACAGCCAGTGCTCTTAACCGCTGAGCCATCTCTCCAGCCCCAGAAGACAATTTTTAAAAGGCCCTACATGGCTGGAAAAATCTAACATATTTACATTGCCAGAGGAAGCTAGTGTAGCTTCACTAATGTGAGATAAGGTAGAATTTAAGCAAAGGTTTCTTGCTCAAAAAGAAGGGGCGTTTCATAATAACAAGATTAGTTTGCTAGGAAGATAGAATAGTTACAAGTTTGTATGCACACCATGTAATAGCTTGAGAACTGAAAAAGCGAAACAGATGATAGGATAAAGCCCAAAGCAATTGACAATCCAAGCAGAAGCTCTGACCCTAGCCAATCTGCAACAAGGCAACCATAGAAACCAAGTGTAAGTATTTGGAACATTTACAGCAATTCAACATGTGGTAATTTCTTGAAGATTTTAGTGAGCGTAAAAGTCACAACAGAGTGGAGATAAGCTGTTTTGCCACTTTTTTTTTTTTTTTAAAGAATCACCTCTTTAACACTTCACTCTCAGTAGTTGGTAGGACAGATATGTAGGACAATTTTCAAGTTTTTCCCACTTTCAATTGAGAACTTCTTAATTTAAAGTTCTAAAAGTGTGAAGTTGAAGGCTGAGAAGGTCAGGAAAAGTGAATTAAGTTAAATGAAAAAAAGTCAAATGCAGAGCATTAGCTTAAAGAAGAGTCAGGTTAAAGGAAGGACTGGACGGATCTCAGGTCTCTCTCTCCTCATGCAGCACCCACTTCAGTCCCCGAAGGGACTTAAGGCAAGAGCTTGCTTTTCTACACAAACTGAGCCAGAGAAGCTTTGAGGTTTGAAGAAACTAGGCATTTGTGGAAGTTAAGAGAGAGATAATGAATTGCAACAGGGGCCTAGGGCAAGGCTGTCCAACAAATGGAATGTTCTAGTTCCCCTGCCTCCTTACTCCCAGAATGCCAAGTCATGGGGCATCCTCCCAGGTAGAAAAAAGGATGGCTCTGATCCTCCAACGGTGGTTCTCACACATCACTCTTCAGAGTGCAAAGACTTCCAAACCTCTGTAGTGTCTCATAGCATAAGAAACTATAGCCTCAAATTACGTGACATTTGAGAGCAGCCTCCATCATGGAAAACATAAAGCTAAATGTATTGTGGTAGCCACCAAGATGATCCCTAAGACCCCCAGCTCTGTACTGTTTTCTCCACAGTGCACCAGTATTTGTTGATGTGACCCATTACACGCAGTAGAAGTGATGGCAGAAAAGTTTCCAACTAGGTTTAAAAAGATTGCAGCCTCCTTGACTTCTCCATCTTGATCTCTCCTCTCTTGTCCGGCGGAAGCAAGCTGCCTGTTGACAGTAGGATGGCTGACTTTTCCAGCTTATTTGGGATAGGTGGGTTCCCAGGATGTGGGGCTTTTGGTGTTAAAACCAAGAAACAACCAGGCATCCTGGGACAAATGGGCACTTCAGCTGTGAGTAGCCCTATAAAAAGAGCCATTACTGAGGATCAAAGGCTGCCAAGGTCTGTCAACAATCATGTGAGTGAACTTGGAGGTGGATCCTGTCCAGTCAATCCTTTAGATGATCACAGCCCTCACCATCTTCATACAACGTGGATAGAGACTCGGAGTTGGAATCACCCAGCTACTGGAAGCCATTACTGAATCCCCAACCCTTATATAAACTGCGTGAGATAAAACCTGTTGTTTTAAGTTGCTAAGTTTGAGAGACATTTGCTAGGCAGCAAAAGACAACAATACACAAATAGAAAGGGAACAAAAATATTCAGGGCTTAGAAAAATTTACAGAAAACTACAACTCATACATCAGAGGAGATATGACATAGCATTTTATGAAGTAAGTTAGAACTCTATAATAAAAGATGCGTTTAGTTACTATGACAATGATCCTAATTTATTAATGCCGCCTGTATTCATGTGCTCTTCCACCCTGACTCTGGACTGGGTTACAAGACTACTGGCTCTGATAAATCAATGCGAGAGCAGCAAACATGGCTGAGAGGCTTAAAAACTACTTGCAAGGACAGATTTGCCCTCTTGCCATCTTGGGACCTTGACACCAGGTAATCAGGGTCAGGCTTGCCAGCTAGCCAGCTGAAAGATAATACAAAAGGAAGAAGAGACCAAGGCATTTAGAGTAACAGCCAACCTTTATCTAACATGCTGTGAACTGTGGTGTATTAGTCAACCTAGCCAAAATCAGCCGGACCTTGATTCACTCTATGACCTCACTCAGCTCAAATTGCCAACTCAAAGAATACCGAGCTTAAGAAATGGCTATTGTTAATGGGGGGTGGTGGTGCACGCCTTTAACTCCAGCACTTGGGAGGCAGAGGCAGGTGAATCTCTGAGTTCAAGGTCAGCCTGGTCTACAGAGAAAGTTCCAGGATGGACAGGGATACACAGAGAAACCCTGTCTCAAGGAAAAAAGAAAGGAGAGAGAGGGAGAAAGAGAGAGAGAGGGAGGGGGAGAGAGAGAGAGATAGAGAGATAGAGATAGAGAGAGAGAGAGAGAGAGAGAGAGAGAGAGAGAGAGAGAGAGAGAGAGAGAGATGGCTATTATCAAAGTGTAGTGTTTTTATGTAATATAAGGTAATTGGTTTGTGCAGCCCCTTCGCAGCAGCTCCTTGGAGGCACCAGAGGCACCACCATCCCTCCTTACCCAGGATGCTCAGTTTCTCTTTACTGCTAAAGTCTGTACCTTCCTGGGGCCCCTCAAGGGCAAAGGACCCATCTTCTTTTTGTAGCCCTAGCACTCAGCACACACTGCTACTCCAGTGGGTTGAAAGAATTTAAGAATCTGTGTTGGGAGTGGATTTTGAAAACAGGAGAGACAGAACCAGTGATGATCTCTCTGGGCTCAACAAATCTTCCTCAATCTGTACCCTTGAAGCAGTGGGGCGGGGCCGCTTCCGGCTTTACAGGAATCTTAGAAAAGACAGTTAATTTTTTTTTCTGGTTAGAATGAACCAAGGGTGCCAACTATTGCGTTCGATTTTGCACATTTTACTACAACTAATAAGTATGACTTGTTAATAAGTATGACATACTAAGTTTTAAATAATGCACGTTTTAAACAATACTGAGTATTAAACAATACACGTGGAAGATAAGCCCTGGCGACTGAAAATGAATTGACTCCTAGCGTTCTTATATATTCAGGCTTCTCAAATAACCACCCCCTACCCCCACCCCCACCCCCCGCCGCCCCGCTCTAGCGACCCTTTCCCAGGAGGATGAGAGAGACTCCAGTATTGCAGAGCAGTGGGGAGCCACCCCACCCCACCCACCCAGGGGCTGGGGAGTCCAAGAATAACCCAGAGCTGCAAGGGAGGGAAGAAAACAGCCGCCAGGCTACGGACTTCCTCTGCAGCATCCTGCGGCGCCCCTCCCTCCATCTACCTTCTGGTGTCCGAGGAGCCAGTGGGCGGGCGGCCCCGGGAAGGGGTGCAGGTCACGCAGCAGTCGCTGTCTCCGCCGGTAGAGCTTGATGGCCTGCATCAGCCCCAGAGCCAGGCAGAACACCAAAGCCAGGTGCAAGGGCCGCGCCCAGCGGGTCTCCAGCCAGGAGGTCTCCATCACTCCGCGCTGGAGGTCGGGCGGGCAGTGGGTGGGTGGATGGAGGATGTGGTGGTGGTGGTGGTGGGAAGCCCGGAGCTGTCTCCAGCCCGGAGCTGGGGAGGATCACCCAGCCCCCTCCCCAGTGAGCCCTCGGTGTAGCGGAGGTGGGGGAGGGGAGGCTCCTGCCAGGGAAGAAGAGACTCGCCCACAGAGATTTCCAACCGGTTACCCACTCACTGGTGCACGCTCGGATTCAGGCAGACTTCTTGTACCTTCCTGGGATGTCTTATTTTAAGTGTGACACTTTCCAATCGCGGGTGATCTGAATTTAGACTTTTGAAATAATGCTCAGCCTGAGGTAATTGTTTCTCTTGTCACGAAACCAAAATAAACCGCTATGCAAAAGGATCCGCTTCCCCACTCTGGAATTCTATGAGCTGCCACAGGAGCTAGGGGTGGTGGCCGAGGAGGGTATGGCCATTATACACGTGAGGCGTGGCTTGCCAAACTGTGCTTGTGAATGTTTTGCACTTTTTCCTCACCCTGATTTCTAGCGTGCTCCAACGTCCACCACGGCCCATTTCAAGTTGTATGAGGGCGCCGAATTGGGAAGAGACACACAGTGATGCACAGCTAGAGAGCGTTTCTACCATTCAGATACAATCAGGACGGCCATATAATTTATGGACCCCAGTGCAAAACAAAAACGTGGGATCAGGGCTGGTGAGTAGCTCAGCGAGTGAAGATGACCTGAGTTGGATCCCAGAACCCACATGTTGGAAGGAGAGAACAGATGGAGCCTGTTCTCTGACAGTCACATGGGCTGTGGCTTGCACACCTTTCACAATAAGTAAATGTGAAAACCCAAAAAATTAATTAAGTTTAAAATTACAATAGCAGAACATTAAGCAATATTAAAACAAGTATATGCTTTTCCGAGTTCAGAGCCATTTGACTGTTAGGTCCCACCTCATAAAGCCAGCCTTGGATACAGACAACCTGAGGAGCAGCCTAATTGTAAAATGTATAGGAATAAACTCAGTCCTCCACACAACGGCGTTTGTTACAGTACTTAAAGAAACAGTTAGCTGGGTGGTGGTGGCTCCCGCCTTTAATCCCAGCACTCGGGAGGCAGAGCCAGGCGGATCTTTGTGAGTTCGAGGCCAGCCTGGGTTACCAAGTGAGTTCCAGGAAAGGCGCAAAGCTACACAGAGAAACCCTGTCTTGAAAAACAAACAAACAAACAAACAACAACAAAACCAAACCAAAAAAACCACAGTTAAATAGTTACTTTAAAATGCTTTAACCAATCACCAGCTATCATGTCTTTATTTACTCAGGGTTCTAGAGAGATATCTTGTGTTCTTACACGCTTTGAAACAGTTTGTCACATGACAATTCATTTCACAAGTACTGGCCACCTAGGATGATTGAGTCACTGTTCTCAAAGCTGGAGAAAAGGCAGTGAACAAAATGCTGTCTCTGCCCTCACAATCTCACATTTTTCTGCCCTGAGTCCTAAGCTATGGGCACAGATTGATTCATAGTTCAATTATAGCTGTAGCTTCTCCTGAACCTAGTTCCAGAAAGCCAGACTCTGCCACGGAAGCACATATGAAGATGTGTCAACCCTCCATGGCTCAAGAATATTAGGAAAAATTTACACCTGTACTGAACACGTGCAGAACTTCTTCATGTTATTATTCCCTAAAGAATACAGCCACATACATAGCATTTACAGTGTACTAGGCAGTATAAGCAGGTTATATGCAAACACTATGCCACTTCATATAAGGGCCTTGGGTATTTACAGATTTTTTTAAAAAAAATTTTACTTTTGGGCTGGAGAGATGGCTCAGAGGTTAAGAGCACTGACTGCTCTTCCAGAGTTCCTGAGTTCAATTCCCAGCAACCACATGGTGGCTCACAACCATCTGTAATGAGATCTGGTGCCCTCTTCTGGCCTGCAGACATACATGCAGGCAGAACATTGTATGCATAATAAATAAATAAATCTTTTAAAAAAATTTACTTTTAGATTTATCTATTTTATTTTATAAGTATTTGCTTGCATGCATGTCTGTATATCACATTTGTGCCTGGTGCCTGAGGGGTTCAGAAAAGGGCAATGGATCCATGAACTACCATATGGGTGCTGGGACTTAACCTGGGCCCTCTGTGAGAGCAAGTGCTCTTAACCACTGAGCCATCTCTCCAGCCCATCTACAGATGTTAATATGACCTTAGGACCAATGCCCCATGAATACTGAAAGCATTATATTTAAGATAGGTGTGGTGATATATGTCTGGAATTACAGTGTTGGTGAAGTGAGCCAGGAAGATCCCTGAGCCAGCCATTTTAGTCAAATTGATAAGCTCCAGGTTTAGAGACAAACCTTACCTTACATGATTAAGGTGGACAGCAGTTGAGGAAGATAGTGTTGACCTCTGGGTTCCACATGCACATATGGATATGCATACCCAAACACATGTACACTCACACACATATGACGTGTGTATGTGCATGAGGACACACACACACACACACACACACACACACAGAGAGAGAGAGAGAGAGAGAGAGAGAGAGAGAGAGAGAGAGAGAGAGAGAGAGAGAATTTTAACAGTTAGTGGACAGACTCTAACAGGCCTGGCCTTCCCAAGCTTCTGTATTCTTTATGGTATTGTCCATCACTCATTTGTTCATTTATTTATGCGAAGGCAGATGTTTGGTTGTGTTTGAGTTGTAGCCCTGAGCAACAGACCCAATCTTGGTTCTAAACTCCATGTTTTCCTCCTTGCCAACGTCCCATTCCTGACTTCTCCACTCCCCATCCCAGCCTATGAAGCCAGGTTTTATTTGGCAGGTAAGCAGTCATCACAGACTCCAGGGAGAAGTGGCTTCCACTCAACCACCTACGGATAGTTTACACTTTCTGTTGTGTCACATTGGAAAGAGTTTCAGCTGCATCCTCCTGCCTCTGCCATCTCCACCCCTTGACTGTCTCAGAATCTTCTGTTGATCAGTTTCTGCTGCTAACTCCTAGCACTTTCACTTTTCGGGTTCTTCCTGTGCCCTGCTCCCTGCCCCAGTCATGACAGATGTGTGGTGGTGATGGTGCGGAGACTGTGGCACTCCTCGTTCTGTCCTCGGGGTCCTGATTGCCCTCAGCTTCATGTCTTGCCTGCTCTGGTCTCTAGTTCCCTTGTGCTGACTGATACATAACAGGGTGTGACCACGGGTGAATTTCTAGTTATTTCTTTCCAGAGGGTCAGAGGCTGGAAACTCAACAGTTGATCTAGATGGACCCAGGCTTCTGCTGTGGTACGAACCCCATGGGACCTGAACCGTCCAAGTGGTTACCCCTCTGCTCCAGTACCTGTTCGACTCTATACAGCATAATTCTATGTCCTTTTGTGGGTAGGAAAGTCACTTTGGGACATTTTGCACAGTACTAGGGATCCTGAGAAAGGCTCAAAGGTATTGGCTCGGACCTCTCTGATTCATTCATATTTCATTCTGGATACTCCTCTAAGGGATGCAAATCCCAAATCTCTGTGCTCTTCACCACCTTCAAACTATTTGCTATAGTTTGGAAATTAAATGTCTCCCCAAAGCCAGTGTGCTATGAGGTTGAAGCCCTGCAGGCAGGCTTCTATAGAGGACTTTGTAGCAGAGTGGTGGCAGTGAAGCCAGAGCTGCAATGGGGCCCAAGATGGGTAGAGGTGCCAGCAACATGCAGCATTCATCAGGGCAGGTGACAAGCAGTGTGCCAAGCCATCCTGGGATGGTGGCCATGTTGGATGTATGTAATTGATGAGACCATAAGAACAGGGTTGCCCAACTGCTTGAAAGCCCAGCTCCTGTCATAGTAAGTGGGTGCCAGACATAGACCTTTAGAATTTCATGTTAGCTCTTCTGGCTTTTGGCTGTTTTGAGCTGATACTTCCTGTTGTCCCACTCTTTGGAAATGCTTACCCTGCACCTGTACCGTCTTATAGGTATGTAACCTTTTTTGTAGGTAGAGTTTTTTTTGTCCTGCCAGCCAGTTTCCATATAACCACACAGAGACTTATTATTAATTATAAATGCTTAGCCAATAGCTTAGACTTATTTTTAACTAGCTCTTGTAATTTAAATTAACCCATTTCTATTAATCTATGTGTTGCCCTGAGACTTATTTACCTCATCTATGTACTTTGCATGTTGCTTCTTCCAAGTCTGGCTGGTGACTCCTCCAACTCTTCCCTCCTTCCCAGCATTTTCTCTGGCTTCTGCCCTGAAAATCCTGCCTCGCTATTGGCCAATCAGCTTTCTTTTCTTTTCCTTTCTTTTCTTTTCTTCTTTCTTTCTTTCTTTCTTTCTTTCTTTCTTTCTTTCTTTCTTTCTTTCTTTCTTTCTTTCTTTTATTTTTTTGGGTTTTTTTTGAAACAGGATTTCTCTGTGTAGCTTTGGAGCCTGTCCTGAAACTTGTTCTGTAGACCAGGCTGGCCTAGAACTCACAGAGATCCGCCTGCCTCTGCCTCCCAAGTGCTGGAATTAAAAGCATGCACCACCACCACCCGGCTTCCAATTAGCTTTCTTTAGCAATGAAAGCAACACATCTTCACAGTGTACAGAAAGATTATTCCACAGCATTTCCCCCTTTGTCTAATTAAAAAGGAAGGTTTTAACTTTAACATAGTAAAATTATATATCAAGTAAGAATTACAGTTACAAATCCAGTCCATTTGTTCTTAGCAAAATTTGAGAAAATATTTTATTATTTATCTTATCTTTGTGAGTCCAAAGTTTTATGTCTAATTTCCCTTTTATTATAACTAAGGGAAGCTTTAAACATAATTATTTAGTCATTAACTCCATCAAAGACCTCAGTAGGGTGTAATATTACCTAATAACAGGGACATCTGGCTCCCCGGACAGTCATCCAAAGTTCTGTAATGTTGCGGCATCCATCTTTGGCCTACAGACCTACTATAGCTGAAAGACATTTTTGAGAAGCAGGGAATTTTGAAGGACTATCCTGTCTTGTCTTGGTAAAGTTTGGCAGTCTCTTTCTTTTGTGTCCTGCTGGGCCAGTTTGGACAGTATACTGTCAGCAATTGCAGCAAGGGAAGTTTTTCTGCCCAAATGGTTAGCTTTTGCCATAAAGGAAGCAAATTCCTTAAGGATGTTCTTTGATGACCATCATCTTTTTTGAAGTAAATTGGTACTGTCAGGAGCAGACATGTCTCACTGTTAGGAAAAGCCTTAGGTTATTAAACACCTTAAATGCTATATTCTGTAGGTCTTTGAAGTGTTTGAAGACCATCTATTTAAATATATCTGTTTAACCTTGAAAACATACCTAATATGACTACAAGTTTATTATAGATGACTATTAACTTGCATTTTTTATTGTACATTACATTTTAAAATGAGCTGTATAAGCACAATACTGAAAACAAGAGTAGAAACGTACATACAGCATTACAAAATT